GTATCCCTCCCTGACTCCTTGCTATCTCAGTAGTGACTCAATAATTACTTCACTTTATACCAAGGGTAAGTACAATATGATAAAATGCAATGCCTATCTGGAATAACTGTCTTCATCCAAGTAAGACAAATGTATATTACTCAGAATTCTTTTTCATATTCAGAGGAAGGACTATTAACCAATCAGGTGGGCATTTGATAAGCTCTTTAAAAAAAAAAAATGAGTGTTTATTTATTTTTGAGAGAAACAGAGTGTGAGCAGGGGAGGGGCAGAGACAGAGGGAGACACAGAATCTGAAGCAGGCTCCAAGCTCTGAGCTGTCAGCACAGACCCTGATGCGGGGCTCAAACCCACAAACCGTGAGTGAGATCATGACCTAAGCCGAAGTCGGACACTTAACCGACTGAGCCACCCAGGTGCCCCATAAGCTCTTTAAGTGCTTTTTATTTACTACAGAAGCTAAGATGTAACTGGATTTTGATCTTCAACAGATAGTTGGAGAGTGGCACTTGGGCACTCCTCTGGTGGGATCAGGCAGTCCTCGGCGGTGTCACCCGCACCTGGTGACCAGTGTCAGAGCCTCCCAGCACACTTGGATGGAGAGCACAGTGGGGTAGCAAGACCAAGGTCGCAGGAGGGGCAGACAGCCAGGCAGAAGGCAGGCAGAGGTTGCTGGAAAGGGAGAAGGGAGCCCAAGAGGGATAAGGAGGGAGAGGAAGAGGAGGAAGAGGAACGTGGAAGAAAAGATACAGGTGACATGGTTATTGGAAATGGGGACTGTCATCAGAGGAAATATAGGAAATAGAGAACGGATGGTCTAGAAAATACCGGGAGATATCTTACACATAATGACTTGGATGCATGGTGATATTCTATTGCTTACATTTAAAATTTCTTTTTCTTTTAATTTTTTTTCATGTTTATTTTTGAGAGAGAGAGACAGAGCATGAGTGGAGAAGGGGCAGAGAGAGGGGGAGACACCGGATCTGAAGCAGGCTCCAGGCTCTGAGCTGTCAGCACAGAGCCCAATACAGGGCTCGAAACCAGGAACCGTGAGATCACGACCCAAGGCAAAGTCGGACACTTAACCAACTGAGCCACCCAGGCGCCCCCGTTTTAAATTTGTAAATTTGGAGAAGACGACTCTGACCTACGACCCATGGTCAAGTCTGGGGGGTGGGTGGTGCTTTGGTTGGTTTTCATGGCCACATCCACTCACTCAGGAGCCTCTTTGTGTGAGACAAATACAAAACGAAACTGGTTCTGCTTCACTTGCGACTACATCGACTTACTCCAGCAAGAGGGAAAAACTTGAGATCACGTTGCCTTGAGTTTATACAACATCTTTAAGGCATTTAACTGGCATATTTCTTAATGTTTACATCACTCTGAGGTAGATCAGAGATCTGTGGTTTTACCCCCATTCAACAAAAACAAAATCAGCGTGAAAACACAGAAATCACACAAAGCCTAGAGCAGGATGCCTTGCTTTAGCGGTCCCGATTTAATCCTGTGTAACGAAACTAAGCTAATTCCATACATCGTAACTGATGAACGCCTTTAAAGTTCTCCAAACTACAAGCAGGTTCGATTTGGCCAGATGAAACCGCGTTTCAAACTTAGTCCCCTGAGGGCTTGACTGTAAAGATTATGCTCTGGTTAGCATGTTGGCCTTTTAGCTCTATTTCTCTGTATTTGGCCACTTCCCTGGGGCTGAAGATCTGCCCCTAATTGCTACTGTCTGTTGACAGCATTATTTTTGCACAGAGACTTTGGCCAAATGAGCGTCTGGCCCACAGGTGGGTACGCAGTCTCCAGCTTCAGAGCAAAGCCTTCCTCTCATTCCGGCCTCCACGACAGCAATCCCAAGGGCACTTTGTGGATCCTTCGTGACACAATAAAGGCTTGGTAGCCTGTAAAGTGTGACACAGGCAACGGGCACTGTGGGGAGAGAGAAACAGGCAGACACATCGCTTGCCTTGAGGGCACTTAACACGGCTCATAAAACGACCTATTTCTTCTTTTTAAAATTTGCTTTCCGTGGCTTTTCTGCGTGCTAGGGACTATTAGTTTTTCTGGTTTCTGTTCCTTTACACTGCTGTGTTATTTGCTCATTACACTTTTAAATACTGCACTAAATAAACCCCAGAGTATTGCAAATCCGTATTTCCCTCAGAAAAGAATGTGCGCTTTTGGCCAAGGATTTAACATCCCACTGACTTTCACAACAGAACAAGCAAGACTCTTCTAAGGTGAATTTGTTTTCACAAGGCAGTTAAAGTAAATTCTGTGGTTTTGTAGCCCAACATGAAATCTCCCCGCGGGGGCCCCGCCCCCCCGGAACGGAGCAGCACTGGCAAAACCCTCAGCCATCACTGAGCCTGAGGGCCGAACGTGACAATATGGGAAGGACGGAAAGGACTCCCAGGAGCAAATGTGATGGACACACGAATGACAGAACATGAGGTTTTCCAGACTCACAAAGTATTGGAGGACAGAACTCTGCACAAAGTACATTATGACGGGCCTGAGGGGTGCCGGAAGTGGCCGCCGCTCAGTTACGTGTTTTTCCGTAGCCACGCTGTCATCCTGGCGTTGCGCTTTTTGTTTTCCAGATTTTTGTTCTTTATTGTCTGTAACTTGGCACGAACTGTGAGCTTCTGGTGCTCTTCCAACATGTTGCCGAAAAACTGCTGCAGCTTGAAGGACAAAGGGAAGGCCGGTCAGTGCAAACTCAGGTCTCGTTTAGCCAGAAGAAGGCCAAGTTCATGCTCAGTAACAACAGGCTTGCAAATGGCCCGTGTGGGCAGGGGCGGGTGGGAAGGCCGGCCTCTAGATGGCGTGCTCCTGGGGAGACGGGCGCTGAGACAATGCGGAGACTGCACACCTACCCTGAAGAATCAGGTGCGGATTCCATCTGTGGAATGGGAACTTCATCTATTTTGTTCACTGCTCTAGTCCCCCGAGGGCACACAGTAGGTGCTTGATAATGACCTACTGAATGCATATCGGGGATTATACAAGATGTGTGGGCAGAGATACAGTGAGATCTTCTCTTATCTCAAAAGAAACTTTGCAACTCCTCAAGCTCAAAGCTGGCACCTAACATCTGTGCCTTTACAAGTGTATCCTTTATTTAAGAATACTGAGATGGTGGCGGGGGCGGGGGGGCCTGGGTGGCTCAGTAGGTTAGGCGTCCAACTTCAGCTCAGGTCATGATTTCATGGTTCCTGAATTTGAGTCCCACATCAGGCTCTAGGCAGACAGCTTAGAGCCTGGAGCCTGCTTTGGATTCTGTGTCCCTCCCTCCCTCTCTCTCTCTCTGCCCCTCCTTACTCACCCTCTGTCTGTCTCTCTCTCAAAAATAAATAAATACTTAAAAAAAACTTTTTAAGTTATTTTAAAAAAGAATATTGAAATGGGCCACCTGGGTGGTTCAGTTGGTTGAGCGTCCAACTTTGGCTCAGGTCATGATCCCACAGTTCGTGAGTTCGAATGCCACATCAGGCTCATTGCTGTCAGCACAGAGCCTGCTTCAAATCCTCTGTCCCCCATCTCTATCCTTCCCCCACTTGCACTGTCTCTCAAAAATAAACAAACATTAACAAAAAATATTGAGATAGTAGCTTTGTCCACTGACTAGATTCCTTCACTGGGTCAGCTGGGGCATTTATTTATGGGAACATCTACCTCAATATTCTGCATCAGCCACACCCCAATGAACTAATAAGTTATATTCCAAAAGTCTATTTCTGTGTCACTGGATTAGAATTTAGAACATCCCAGATGACTGTGTACCCATCCCCCGCTCGCAAAATGTCACTTAAACACTAATGTACTTGAAATTGAGCAGAAATAGGTCATCAAGCCTAATTACAATGTCAAAGAAAAGTCAGTTTGGAGGAAAGAGCAGGTGAAGGAACCAGGAACAGACCTCCCAGCCTCTCCCACACCTGCCTGCCGTGGGAGCGACAGGCCACAGCCCCGATGCACCTGTAGTGTGTGTGTGTGTGTGTGGGAGTCTGTGGGACCGTAGGTGGGCTTCCTGTGTGCTGGAGAGCATGAGGCCAGGCTCTGGTGGGGGCAGTATGAAGCCCTGAGCAAGAAATAATGGAGAGCGTATAGTACCTGTGCTACGCTAGAGGGAGAAGAGAACTCGTGCGGCTTTTCATTTTTATTCTTGTCATTATTCTCCATATGATCCTGTGAACACATAGATTACGGCAGGACCCTTGGAGATGACTACTTTTTGGCAAGGCTATTCGTAGTAGCTAATTTAACTTGCTTTCAAAACTGCAAGAATTGAACCCCTGCGAAACATACTTTTGCATTAATAAAAATCAACTATCAGTGAGTACAGTTTCGGAACTTTGAGGACAGCTAAATTTATACACACTTCATTCATTAAACAACAAAAAATCTTTGCTGGGTTCTGTAGACACAAAGATGAACTGATGCCCTTTAGACGACACCAGCACACTGGGGCTCCTGGGTGGCTCAGCCGGTTGAGTGTCTAACTATGTCACATGGACAGGGTCCAGCCCCAAGTCGGGCTCTGTGCTGACAGCTCACAGCCTGGAGCCTGCTTCAGATTCTGGGTCTCCCTCTCTGTCTGCCCCTCCCCTGCTTGCATTTGCACTCTCTCTCTCAAAAATAAACAAACATTAAAAAAAAAAAAAAAAAAAAGGAAGATACTCGCACAAACTCGCCATCCCTGTGGGAGCACTCCTTCCAGCATTTCTGGGTGTGCCCTTCACTCTCTTGTCCAGGGAGTCCCTGGTAAATCACGTCCTGACAGCTCAGTCTCAGGCAGGCCCAAATGCAAACAGAGATCATTCCTTCAGGAATTAGTGGTTCTTCCTCTCTCTTAACAACAACTACACAGCTCACTGCTTCTCTCTCTCTCTCCTCTTTTTTTTTTTTTTTTTTTTTTTTTTGGCTCACGATCAAACCTCAGGCCTTTATGACTTACATGTTTATTGGTGTATTTGCTGGGGCAGAGAGGTTGATTTTTTCTTTCTTCTCGTTTTTTTAACCAGCTCGATGCATGGAGGGGACGGAGCAAGCTCCTAGGCCATCTCCCTGCTCCCCAAATCCATTTAATATATTGCCCTCGGAGAGAGGATGTATCAGTTATAAAACTGGTAAGAACAGATACGACGCTTGATCTGAGCCAAAAGGCCAAGAGGCGATTGAGTTTCCTTTCTTATTTACACAGGCCCCTTCTGTTCTTAGGAATATGGTCCCAGGCCACGGTGTTTAATTTGTACTCAGGCATTAAAAAAAAAAAAATTAAGTCTATTGAAATGAAATCAATGGACAATAAATTATACTCACTAAAGCATACAAATGAGTTGTGATGACTATATACACCCGTGAAACACATAGACACGTTCAAAACACAGTACATTTCCACTACCCACAAATTCCTTCAGGCACTTTGCAACCCTCTGCAACCCTCCCTCTGTCCCAGGCAGCCATTGATCTGCCTTTTATCACTAGAGATTATATTTGCATTTTTTAGAATGTGCGTGTGTGGTTTTTTTTTGTTTTTTTTTTTTTCCAACGTTTTTATTTAATTTTTTGGAACAGAGAGAGACAGAGCATGAACGGGGGAGGGGCAGAGAGAGAGGGAGACACAGAATCGGAAACAGGCTCCAGTCTCCGAGCCATCAGCCCAGAGCCTGACGCGGGGCTCGAACTCCTGGACCGCGAGATCGTGACCTGGCTGAAGTCGGACGCTTAACCGACTGCGCCACCCAGGCGCCCCGCGTGTGTGTTTTAAACTCAGCACCATCATCTTGAGATCTATCCAGGCCATGACACAAACCTATTCTTTTTTTTTTTCTTTTAATTGCAGGGTAGTATTCCCTGGTGTGGATATATTACATTTTCTGTATCGATTCACCTATCGATGGATGTTTGGATGGTTTCCATTTTTCGGCTAACGAGAATGAAGCTGCTATGAATATTCATGTAGAAGACTGTGTGGATGTAGGCTTTAATGTCTCTTGAGTAAAAAAACCTAAAAGTGGAATTAATAGGTCACTATATGTCTAGTGACATTTTAAAATACTGCCTTGGGGCGCCTGGGTGAAGCGTCCAACTTCAGCTCAGGTCATGATCTTACGGCTGTGGGTTCAAGCCCAGCGTCGGGCTCTGTGGTGACAGCTCGGAGCCTGGAGCCTGCTTCTATTTCTGTGTCTCCCTCTCTCTCTGCCCCTCCCCTACGCGCGCGCACACACACACACACACTCTCTCTCAAAAATGAGTAAACATTAAAAATTTTTTTAGGGGCGCCTGGGTGGCGCAGTCGGTTAAGCGTCCGACTTCAGCCAGGTCACGATCTCGCGGTCCGTGAGTTCGAGCCCCGCGTCGGGCTCTGGGCTGATGGCTCAGAGCCTGGAGCCTGCTTCCGATTCTGTGTCTCCCTCTCTCTCTGCCCCTCCCCCGTTCATGCTCTGTCTCTCTCTGTCCCAAAAATAAATACACGTTGAAAAAAAA